GCCCTTTGAACATCCCCTTTTATACCCAACCCCTCCCTGAGGGGTGGGGCCCCGGGGGATCATAACGTTCGAACCAGCCCCCCCCAGGGTGTCTGGCTCGGACGTCGTAGAGGGCACCTCCTCGTGCACTTACGTAGCCCCGCCCACTGTGTTTGTTTTCCATAGGCTGCCATGCATAACGGGCCCTCTCTTTAACACCCCTACATAAGAATAAGGCGATATTATAGACTGCACTCAGATTAAGTACCAGGCTACAATCTACATTAGCGGGTTATTATTTATCGTATTTTATTTTAATATTAATATTATTCACCTTATTTTTATTATTCTTCTATCTACGCGAATTTACTGAAATAACGAAAGAATGAAATTCGGCATTCACGAAAGTTTAAGTCAAAACTTAGTTATATCTCCAACTCCAGGATATCAAAATATAACTCGAGAATAAAAAGCACGGATCCCTGGATACAGACTGGGAACAAAGGTTAATAAACTCCTCGGAATACATGTGGTAACAACTATGGTAGATCACAAATCTTGGTTAAACATAAACCAAATAATAATTATGAAGTATTAGACCGAGGGTCATCCAGAAGAAATCCAATGTGAAGAAGCGCAATCACATACGACCAAGATAATATGTATTCCATAGAATCAGAGCCTCCCAAACACATTTGTCTTCCAGAAGCACGTGGTAGCAAGGAATTACACATGTAGGGAGGGCGCCTCCCCGTGAGATATCAAACACCATGGAAAAAGTCCAAAGTACGACGGACGTACTGTGAACACTGCTCAAAACATACCTTGAGTCACTTACATTGTCAACACCGCAAAAACGGATACATACGAAGATAAGGGGTGGAAAATAATGTTTCTTTTTCTTTTAACTTACAACCCATGAGAGTGAACGGAAAACATGGTAACAGGAGGTCACACTTCAAGAGACGGTGACCCTCTTTGATTTATAATTTTTCAAAACCGAATATATACAACAAACGCAACCCACCCACCCCAGCGTGAAGCGTTGGACGTTGTGAAAAACAAGGGTGTAACAACCATGGAAGTTTTTCTACATCCCGAGCATTCATTCACGCTCCGCATTTCCCAGGTCTGTAAGACCTCAAAGACCCAAGGATCCTCTGTGTAGCATTGTTAGACTGTTGGAGCAAGTGCTGTCAATAGAGTAGCAGCACCTATGTAGGCTGGCACTTTGGCACACGAAGCAGGTTGGCGATGTTTTTACCCCCATTTGAGCCGACCTATGGGAAGCCCTGGATCGGTTCAGATAGTCGTCAATGGTGTTGGTGGCCGTGAGCGGGAATCGAACTTGGGTCTCGGGATTCGAAGCGCAGCGTAGCTTTCACCGTTACAGCAACTACTGCTGCTCTGTAGGACCACTCCTACCTCTGCACCTGCACAACATCGCCGGCATAACGGCATCGTCTTACTCCATCAGCTTCTGAGACCTTGATCCACGGACGCAATTATTATTAATGTTTGCGAGGATGACTGCAATTCACTCGTTTGCAGTCTACACATTTGACCTTATTTGACGGTTTCTGATGGATTTAGAATGCCCCTGCAATGCCTCCTCACCCGTACATTATAAAAACGTAATTTCACACCCGCACTCCAACTCTCACTCCACTGGCTTCATGTCAGGTCTCAGATCCACTTTTAAGATTGCAATGATTGCTTTTTTTGAAGAGGGTTTCGTGCTCTTGTGCCTCCATATAGTGAGGGAAAATGTATTTGATCCCCTGCTTATTTTGTACGTTTGCCCACTGACAAAAAAATGATCAGTCTATAATTAATGGTAGGTTTATTTGAACAGTGAGAGACAGAATAACAACAAAAAAATCCAGAAAAACGCATGTCGAAAATGTTATAAATTGATTTGCATTTGAATGAGGGAAATAAGTATTTGACCCCTCTGCAAAACATGACTTAGTACTTGGTGGCAAAACCCTTGTTGACAATCACAGAGGTCAGATGTTTCTTTTAGTTGGCCACCAGGTTTGCACACATCTCAGGAGGGATTTTGTCCTACTCCTCTTTGCAGATCTTCTCCAAGTCATTAGGGTTTCGAGGCTGATGTTTGGAAACTCGAACCTTCAGCTCCCTCCACAGATTTTCTATGCGATTAAGGTTTGGAGACTGGCTAGGCCACTCCAAAACCTCAATGTGCTTTTTCTTGAGCCACTCCTTTGTTGCCTTGGCCGTGTGTTTTGGGTCATTGTCATGCTGGAATACCCATCCACGACCAATTTTCAATGCCCTGGCTGAGGGAGGTTCTCACCCAAGATTTGACGGTACATGGCCACGTCCATCGTCCTTTTGATGCGGTGGAGCTGTCCTGTCCCCTTAGCAGAAGAACACCCCCAAAGCATAATGTTTGCACCTCCATGTTTGACAGTGCGGATGGTGTTCTTGGGGTCATAGGCAGCATTCCTCTTCCTCCAAACACGGCGAGTTGAGTTGATGCCAAAGAAATCCATGTTGGTCTCATCTGACCACACCACTTTCACCCAGTTGTCCTCTGAATCATTCAGATGTTCATTGGCAAACTTCAGACGGGCATGTATATGTGCTTTCTTGAGCAGGGGGACCTTGTGGGCGCTGCAGGATTTCAGTCCTTCACGGCGTAGTGTGTTACAAACTGTTTTCTTGGTGACTATGGTCCCAGCTGCCTTGAGATCATTGACAAGATCCTCCCTTGTAGTTCTGGGCTGATTCATCACCGTTCTCATGATCATTGCAACTCCACGAGGTGAGATCTTGCATGGAGCGCAATGCCGAGGGAGATTGACAGTTCGTTTGTGTTTCTTCCATTTGCAAATAATCGCACCAACTGTTTTCACCTTCGCACCAAGATGCTTGGCGATGGTCTTGTAGCACATTCCAGCCTTGTATAGGTCTACAATCTTGTCTCTGACATCCTTGGAGAGCTCTTTGGTCTTGACCATGGTGGAGAGTTTGTAATCTGATTGATTGCTTCTGTGAACAGATGTCTTTTATACAGCTGAGATTAGGAGCACTCCCTTTAAGAGTGTGCTCCTAATCTCAGCTCGTTACCTGTATAAAAGACAAATAGGAGCCAGACATCTTTCTGATTGAGAGGGGGTCAAATACGTATTTCCTTCGTTAAAATGCAAATCAATTTATAACATTTTTGACATGCGTTTTTCTGGATTTTTTTGTTATTCTGTCTCTCACTGTTCAAATAAGCCTACCATTAAAATTATAGACTGATTATGTCTTTGTCAGTGGGCAAACGGAGAAAATCAGCAGGGGACCAAATACTTTTTTTCCCTCACTGTACCTCTCTTCTCTCATATTACTTTAACCTTTTGGGACGTTGTAACCACCCACACAATGAAGGCCTTCATCTTACAAAGCCCACAGTCATCAACCTTCATTTCCACGGTGGAGGTCGCTTCTGCTCTCGAATGTCTGGAATTGTCTCTCCCCCTTGAAACTTCGAACGCATTGAGAGCTGCTTTCCTTGTTCAAGTCAAGACTTAAACCCCATTTGTTTTCACAAGCACTCAGCTAAAGCAATGTTTTTTCCAAGTGAAGCATTTGCAGATGCGGTTGCATCTAGATGCTATATAATTGTATTGTAGTGTACAAAAACATAACTAAAAACAGAAAGAGCAGTCGCAAGCTCCGGCTGTTGTTTTTACACATCGCATTTGCTCTGCAATCACTTGCTCACCGAGTTTTTACCTCAAATGCCCTTCGTTATGCTGCCTCAACACATACTGTATGCGAGGTCCGACACATTTCGTTATTATGATGATCATTATGTTTAATGGATATTGTATGGGTTGATTCTTTTTTTAACAGCCTTTGCAACCGGTTTGCATAATGCAGCAGGGGGCAGTGCAGCAAACGATTGTTGCTTAACATGTGTTGTGACACAACGCGGATGTGCGCCGTTATTATAACACAGAACGCACACCGTTATTATAACCCGGAATGTGTGCCATTATTATAACGCGGAACGTGCGCTGTTATTATAACGCGGAACGTGAATCGTTATTATGACGTGGAATGTACACCGTTATCATAATACGGAACGTGCACCGTTATTATGACGTGGATCGTGCGCCATTATTCTAAGGCGGAATGTGCACAGTTACTATAAAGCAAAACGCAAGCCGTTATAAAGCAGAATGTTCTCCATTATTATAACGTGGAACATGCGCCATTACTGTAACGCAGAACGTGCGTCATTATAAAGCAGAACGCTATTGTTATAATGCAAAATGCACACACTTTTTATAACATGGAATGCGCACCATTATAACGTGGAACGTGCACAATTATAATGTGGAATGCATGCTGTAATAACGCGGAATGTGCACCATTATTATAACACAGAACGCGCGCCGTTATTATAACATGGAATGGGCGCCATTATAACGCAGAACGTGCGTCATTATAACGTGGAATGTGTGCCATTATTATAACATAGAATTTGCATCATTATTATAACACAGAACGCGCACCGTTGTAAAGTGGAATATGCGCCGTTGTAAAGCGGAACGTGCACCGTCATAACGCAGAACGTGCACCAATGTAACGTGGATCGTGCACCATTGTAAAGCAGAACACACGCTGTTATAACATGGAACGTGCGCTGTTATAACATGGAATGCGCGCCGTTGTAACCCAGTTCCCGAGCGGTTGACGACCAACTACTTTCTGAGCTGTGCCAGAAGTCATACAGTGAGGTGATACAGTATGCAGAACGATATGGTTACACCCTCACTTGTCCCCCCATGGGATGGCCTGCAAGCTGATTATTTTACAGTGGAAATGTGCGGCACTTTTCAGGGACGCATCAAGTGCATTAAGCAAGGGATAACTGTACTTCTATGCCCCCCACCCTCCAGTATTCACTGACTCACACTGACCAGCATTGTGAGGTATAGTCAAAGGGAAAAATGTTGATGTAAAAATATGTCATCAAAACCTGCTATTTTTTTTCACAGTGCCAGCCAAAGTCAATGTCAGCACCATTGCCAAGAATGCGACCACCATAACGGTGTCATGGAACATGTCCTCTGTTGACCTGTACTACTACTATACCACCTCCTTAAAAGAGCGTCAAGACGGACCAAATCTCCAATCTCAGACCAGGGCAACATTACCACCGAGCGTTACATTTACTGGTCTGGTACCTGGAAGGAATTATTTTATTTTCGTGACAATCAACATCCGGGGATCATATACTATATCAGTCACTGTCACGGAGAGAACATGTAAGTATGTCACAAGTCATTGCCATCATGGAAGGAATGCCATCCATACATAAATATACACGGGATTATAGAGACTGGGAGGGAAGGTGATGCAGAGGGAATAGTCTGTTCTATAATGCCGCAGGTTGTTTTCATGATGCGAATTGGATATAACGGGATGAATGTATTAGGGAACACGTTTTTCTTTTTTATATAACGTGAATTCGAATTGGATATAACGCGATCGAGTGAACAGAAATAGGAATAAGTGGTCATACGGCTGCCTCGGTGCAGCATTGCACAAGGCATTGGGATGCTGCTGGATGCTTCTAGATGTTACCCATGCACTAAAGTCTTTGACTGAGCATGCATCTCACGTGTTATAGGGGACTGTATTTTACCCCACATATTATATATTATTTATTAACGTGATTTTTTCTTAATGCAGTATTTTTCAGGAGAACAGGCTGTAATATTATTAAGATGGGTGCAGCAGTGGCTAACAGGAGTTTTCTTTTCATGGATAATAAGATGAAAACAGTGACAGGGGGCCATATTTTGACATGGGTGCTGCCATGGTGTAATGCTTTAGTCCACGAGACTTAACAATCCAGAGATCACCAGTTCGATTCCATCTTAAATGGCATCAGTTAAACAATGGGCAAGTGTCTTTACCCCCCCCCCCTCCCACCACCCCTATCCTCAGTCCACCCAGTGTTGTGAGAAAAACAATGTAGGGTGAAAACTTCATATTTTCCATTTGCTGCTGAAGTTATTAATGTAAACCACGCCTGTCACTATTTCACAGTGCCCCCCAAACCTACTTTGTCCATCACTGCCAATACCATGACGACTATGACGGTGTCGTGGGCAGCCCCTGCCTCTGACGTGGACTACTACCTGGTCTACTTGAGAGAGACAGCAAACGGAACCTTAGTCAAAACCAATAATGTAACTTCCAGACCAACAACGTTCAATGAACTGGTTCCTGGGAGGAATTATTCTGTCTCTATAGAGGCTCACAGCGCGGATCTGTTCCAGATATCAGATGCAGTCATGAGTAGAACCTGTAAGTAACTACAACTAAACCATCACACAAACTCTAGTCGTCACAGCGGCGGCTTTTGGCTGACGAACGAGGTTCACCACATTGCACGGCACATTGCGATATGCTTCTGCAGCCGTATGGAATGCTCGTACTTCTGATATTAGGAAGCCACTGGAGCTATGCACTTTTAAATCATCCTGATTGACAAACTCATTTCTTTAGAATGTTTTTTTTGTGTGTTTAGATTGTTTGTCCTTCCTCCACACCTCCGATTAGCCCGGTTGGTTACGAACGATGCGAAAGAAGTTCAACATACATACGTGCCTGGTGTGAGTTATTCATTACGAGGAAAGAAAGATGTAACTTGAGTCCAGTGCAATTTTTTTATTTATTAAATGTAAATTTAATTCTCTGTAACCCCAAAAAGCATCAGTTCCCCTCCCCTGGAGCAGCAACATCATCTCCATTTCTCTGGCCCCTCCATTCTTGAACTGATCTTAAGTCCATATCAAAGAAATTGTAATACGATATTTGATCTGACGTACTTTTTGGTTCTTTCGGTAAAGTCACGTAGGTGAAAAAAAAGTTAAATCACGACGTTTCGATCGGCAACACAAGCAATTATCATCAGGTGTGACAACCACAGCAATATTTTTTTATTGAAGTGGGAGAGATGCTGGAGTTAAGGGGTTTATATAAGTCAGAGAGGGAGGTGGGGGGGAATAAGGGGAGGGGGAGCGTTGCGTGTGCGCTAGAGACTGGGACGTGAGACTGGGCAGGGGTGGGCTAGAAGTAAGTGGATACGGAGCCTGGAGGTGCGCGGGGGGAGAGAGAGAGCAAAGCACCAACACGGTTGCGGCCAAAACAGATGATGGCGCTCATAACAAGACAAACCAAATAAGATGGAACAACTATCAACAGTTGCTCAATTTGTATCCATCCTCTCGGTTGAAGTTACGTCTATGTTTATATATCTGGATGGCTTCATGAACATATCTTTGATGGTAGCCAGACGGCTTGCAGAGTACATTGGTCTCAGAGAAAACAATATCATGAGAGCCTACAGCATTATAGCAATGATCAGCAATGACGGAGGAATTAGTTCTGCCGTGGTTCAGATCTGACTTATGCTCGCGGATACGATCAGAGATATGACGTTTACTTTTATTATTATAATATTTGTTTTCACCTACGTGACTTTACCGAAAGAACCAAAGAGTATGGATGCTTGCAGTCACGAAAACTTCAAATCTAGCATGTGTCTGACGTGTTGCAAGTTACTTTAGAAACTTAAGTTAACGATATACACGCATCCCTTTAACCGAGTTTGTGTCAAACGTTGTTATTTTCTGTTGTAGTGCCTCCAAAAGTCAATGTCACCATCAGTGTCAGCAGCCCTACAGCCATGACGGTCTCATGGGTGGCTCCTATTTCAGACCTTGACTACTACGTGGTCCACTTAAGTGAAACGTACAACGCAACAGCAGTGAAGAGCTTCATTTTGTCCTCCACCATTACAACACAAGCATTTACTGATCTGGTCTCTGGAAGAAGTTATAACGCTTATGTAACAGTATACAGTGGCATCAACTCCCAACCGTCAGACATTGTCACGAATAAAACCTGTAAGTATATGCATTTTTATATTTACATAATCATTTGGATGAGCACCACAGAAGAAATGCATTTTCACAAGCAAAAGCATTCACGATAAATATAATCTAGGTATTTGATTAGGAGACATTTGTAAACAGTCACTGTCGTTAAAAAAATGTATTTGTTTTGAGCCAAGTTAAAATAATTGAATTCTAAATTCGAAGAGAAATGGTCATTACATTATAATACATTGCATTGATCTACAAAGTTTCGTATACTTCATTGAAAAATGTGAAATATATGTCGACTTCTCCTTGGTTAACACAACTTTATTTACCAATGCCAACTGTGTCAATGTTCCTAAACCTCCAAAATATAACTAACAATGATAGTTACATAAAAAAACCATCACGTAGCAATTCATAAACAATTTGTAATACAACCGGAACACGTTAGATAATTATATAGTGCAGCTTTAGAAGGCAGACCTAAATGATGATTAAGTAATGAAAACAAAACATTTCAGCATGTTAAAACAGGATAATTAGTTTTCATTGCAAACCGAATGCTATGATCTACGTTTAATAAACAGGGGTATTAATGGACAAAAGATGAAAAGTGCTCAAAGACTCGTGAAGAAGTGCAGGCTGGGAGACAGGGAATGCTATTAGAAGCGACGATGGCCAGTGGTTGAGTGGCATCAATAGGAGGGAGCGTGCATGGGAGTGTATTCACCTTGGAGATGGAACGATAAAATCAGTTCTACTGCAGGAGCTAGATGGACTGTTACATTATGGAATTAATGAGGGATTCTGATGTCTTACGGAGGACTTCATCCATAATTATATTGATTACGGCTGATGTTGATGACAAAGCTTTTCATTATTTAGTATTACATTGCATAGCAGCATCGTTTCCAAAGATCAACGTGGGAGCACACTTCACACAACCCACAAGATACTTCCAAGCTTCCCCAAAGTCAACATAGGGCCATCATCACCCACACTGGCATCAAAATCCCTGTGATTGTGTCGAAACTATTACCAAGGTCGAACCTGGTCAAAGCTGACTGGGACCAATATAAGGAGGCTGTAGAGAGAGTGGTGAGTCATTCCCATGACAGCGGAACGCTATCACCCTTTTATTGGCCTCCTTACTGCAGCTGCAAAGAAGAGCATCCCCCAAGGCTTCCAGAAAGACTACCCCTGCTGGACAAAAGAGACCCAGGACCTGTTCCGACAGTACAGCCAGTTGGGCAGCCCACAGGTTGGAAAGGCCCTTCTAGGCTGCTAGGCTAGATAGTATCTCCCCAAAATTCCTCCATCACTTAGGCCCTAGGGGACTCCAATGGCTGGCAAAACTGTACACCAAAACCATGAAAACGGGATGCATCCCAAAAGCATGGCAGAAGGCAATGGCCGACCCGGGAAGCTATAGGCCAATATCACTCCTCTGCACGACCTATAAACTCCTGGAACACATCATCCTTCTGAGAATCACCCCCCTTGTCGAATCTAATCTATGCAGAACAAGCTGGATTCCGTCTTGGATGCAGCTACTGTGACTAAATTTAGGCCCTTGCGAAAAAAATTGTGGCTATATTCCAGAAATTCAAGACCAGTGAACACTCTGAAAGTGATATTCTGCGGCAACACTGCGACACGACCCCACTCCGATCTGTCTGAATGAAGCTGGATCCTACGCTAACATTCTACGACCACCTGAAAAAGATAGCCGCCAAGACCAAAACAAGGGTCAACCTGGTCCAGAAACTGGCAAGCACAAGCTGGGGAGTATCAGCACCAGTGCTACGGACATCAATGATGGTCCTTGTGTACTCTGTAGCCGAGTACTATGCACCAATGGACCAGAAGTTGTCACACTCGACTTGTTGATGTCCAACTGAACACTACAAAGTGGTGTATCATTGGAACCCTCAAGTGGACCCCAACACACTGGCTGCCCGTGCTGCTAAATAAGGCCTTCCCCGCCCATCCGCCGCAACGCTGCAAACATGCGGAAGTATTGCAAATCGAGGAAACTCGCCTTGCCATTCATCAGTACTTTACTAACGTCCCTCGTCATTACTTGAAGTCACACAAGCCCTTTTGAACCAATGTGCTTCCCCTTATTCAATGCAGGTTCAACCTCGATGAATCCTTGAGAGCTGAATGGAGTTCAAAATCACTCACAAATATTTCGATTTAAAGCTTTCGTGACTGCAGGGATTCATCTTCTTGGTTCTTTCGGTAAAGACACGTAGAAGGAAAATAATAAAAATAAAACATAATAAAATAACTCTGACGACGTTTCGGCCACAGGACGGCTGCTTGCGTTGTAGCCGAAACGTCGTGAGAATTATTTTATTATGTTTAATTTTTTTTATTTTATTATTTTCCTTCTACGTGACTTTACCGAAGGAACCAAGAAGACACTCACAAATACCCTGTGAAAGACCCAATGCAGTATATCCATGGGTTTGATGTTCCACAAAGCTCATGGTCAACTCTAAGCCGCATCTGAACAAACCATGGCAGTAAATTAGGATACCTGATCTACAAATGGAAAATGTAAAGCTGTCCAGTGTGCGACTGTGGTCATTCAGAACAGTGACTGTGCAACATATGACGACCCAATGCCCGATCCACAAATATAAAGGAGACATCACAGTGATACATTCCGCTGCTCTTGACGCGGTTACCTGGCTTGACTACCTGAATGTGAAATTGTAGTTGTTGCTCTGCATCTACATTAGCCATACGGAATAATTTCACACCTGTCCTTGTATGTATGTTGAACTTCGTTTGCACCATATGTAGCCAACCGTGCTAATCAGAGTTGCGAGGGAAGGACAACGAACTGACACACAAAGAGCAGTTCTAAAGAAATAGGACTTCAACCTGCATGTAAAAGTGCATAGGTCCAGTGGCTTCCTAATATTGGAAGATCGTTTCAGACGGGTGCAGACGTGCATCTGAAAGCCCACAATCTTGACCGTCAAATAATAAAGCAACTCCTCTCAGTCATATGGGCAAATATATATCAATGCATACCTCATCATGATGGCCAATAGACACTCGTTTAAACATGTTGCCTAGCGATCAAGATGCAGTGCCTTTAACTCGAATATTCAGCCACGCGTATTCTGACATAATAGGCACATGCTGATGCAACGATTATTGCATCACACTGCATGCATTACATAGTGAGTTTGAGAAACGCTTTATTAATATTCGTATACATTGAGTGTAATCATTACATGTGACCTCTGCAGCCAAAAGGAGTTTATCCAGTACATTCACAATGAATATTGTAAAAAAAAATCCATGAATTATTAAATGGAATCATTACCCCGAATTGTGACGATTTATCACACCGCATGGTAGGCGAATCGTTACATGACTGTACCCATTTGTGTGTGTTGTGTGTGTTTAAATTAGACTTGCCAATTCGGCTGGCTGGGAGTAACACCGCATGTCAGGGCCGGGTGGAGGTGTTCTACAATGGCCAGTGGGGCACGGTGTGTGACGACCTCTGGAGCCCACAGGATGCCAAGGTCGTGTGTCGTCAGCTGGGTTGTGGGCTCACTGCCTTTGCCGTGTCATTGGCTCGCTTTGGATTGGGCAGTGGCTTTATCTGGCTCGACGATGTTCAGTGCTCTGGTTATGAGACTCAGCTCTCCGACTGTAGTCATCGTCCCTGGGGGACGCACAACTGCGGCCACAATGAAGATGCCTCAGTCATCTGCTTGCAAGGTTACTTAAATGAATGTGTGTTGGTCAATACGTATTTGTGCTCTGTTGTCTTGTTATTGCATACCCAAGAAAATTGTTCATTGCTAGCAATACATGTATTCGTTATCCACTTAAGATCAATTTGATATATGTGTTTCATGCATTATTTCGAAAGTTTATCCTAAAACTGATATTTGAAAGTTTAAATTGGATTCAACAACAAATTTCCACGTGAAAAGTCACTTCATTGAGCTATAAGTTTTGGCTTGGTCACTTCTGAAAACGATCTACAGTGTATAGTACATAGATCAGAGGGTATTACCTGCTAAAATAATAAATGTAAAATTAACTAAAGTATTATTTGAATAGATAAAACTAACTTAAATTGGCCGAAAATGTATGCAGGCCAGGAGAAAATAATAACTTACACACAAAATGTGTCTAACAGCAACACGTAACTGGAATCTCAGCATCCTATGCGTGTTCAGATGACATTCCCAACATTTTTTGTGATATGTTATTTCTTCTACCTACAAAGATATAATCTAAACATTAAATATTCATTCAATACAATATTCTCACGTTTTTAAATTCACAGGTGAATCGTAAATCCATTAAACAATGAATATTCAACTCCAGGTACTCATAGGAATTGTTCATTTAATATTACAAATGAAACAATTTATTGACACATTCCATTCAAAATAATTAGATTTACATACAGTACTTTCATAAAGGGTGGTTATTACATCCACAGTTAGAAATGTTTTTAATTCGTCTGTCTATTAATAATTTGAAAAAATTTTCTTAAAATAATTACAATACTAATTGCTAAAATGTCACCCATGCCTTTTGCAGTGCCAAGTTTCATCGTTTTAACCATCACCAACAAGACTACCACGACCATGACAGTCTCAGGGACGACTTCTCTCCCGGAATTGTTCTCCTACTGGGCCTACTTGCGAGAGACTGCGAGTGGATATTTGGTTACAACATTGCGGATTAACTCATCCACGGAAACATTTACTGGCCTGGTTCCTGGAAGGAACTACTCCGTGTCTGTGGAGGCTTCAAATACAACCTTTTCATATGAGTCAGATGTGGTCACGGACAGAACTTGTAAGTACCAATGTGGTGAACATTTCGTGCTATATTAAAATAGACAGAAATGTGTGTATGCTACTATATCGCTATATATGATAGCGCATTTGTATCTTAATATTGTATTACTTAATTTGGTATTGAAAACGTTGTACCACCATGTGATGCTGCCATTGTCCCTGCATGTAAAATAGACGCATGCACAATTCACATGTTTATCATGGTTGGCTACGTACAGTGCCAAATAAGTTCTACATACATACACATGCAATAGTGATGGGATCGAGACTCCTCACCCGACCTCGGTTACTCGTATACAACGAACCTCCTTATCAATGTCTGCGGTATAAAGCCCAGCCCGACAATTGAAACAACCCTGTGGGGACTTAAAATCAACAGCGTTTTAAAATGTTCGTCCATTTTATTGTAAACCCTTGACATTATGGCCGGGTAGGCAACTGGTAAACTGCAGCGATCATGGGCCTTCTTCTTGGAAACTCTGGCACAGTTATTTTTAACCCTCATGTGATCATAACACAAGCACGAGGATAAGTAGTGAGTTCAGAGTCGGGCAGTTCATACCCCCGTGGAGCTTGTTGAGGGGTGTGCATGCTGGGATGTTGGTATTGCCCTCCTACCCCCCTCTGGGGATAGACGTGGATTCAGTCACCGCCCTGCGGGGCTTTTGTTATGACAACTCCACTTGGAATGTGGAGGCTCCCCCAACTTTTGTCCCGGATCCTTTATTCTCCCCTCACCATATAATAATAGCCGACGCTACCTCTTGTAGTCCGCATGTGTGTGGGCTAATGAACCCTATCGACTCCGCATCTATTGACCCAGGGGTATTGAGGGTCTCAGTCCACGTAATTTTTTGTACCCCCCCCCCCCTTTGTTTCGGTCCGTGCCTTATACTGGGCTCGTGTTTTGTTGCAAAAAAACACGTACTTTTCTCCTCATAATATAGTTGGACCAAAATAAGAGGGCATATACAAAATATATGGTGATTGTGGTAACGTATGTGTTATATGCTACTTTAGTGGCATAAGTTAATGACGTAATTATCCCTTTCACTTCGTCTCTCAATCATTTTATTTGACATTGCAGTGCCTCCTAAAGTCAATGTCACCGTCATCGTCCACAACTCTACAGCCATGACGGTCTCATGGGTGGCTCCAATTTCAGATGTTGACTACTACATAGTCTACTTAAATGAAACTTACAACGCACAAGCAGCATATCACTTCAATTTTTCCTCCAATGTTACAATGCAGCGCTTCATTGGTTTTGTTCCTGGTAGAAGTTACCAGATATCTGTAACAGCGTACAGTGGCATCAATTCCCAATCATCAGCCATCGTTACTAAAAGGAGCTGTGAGTATTTCCATGATTATACATTTATTGTTATTTGCGTTATAGAAATGTGTGCAGCCATGTTGAGAGTATTATAATTTCGATTATAGGTTTTATTTTCGCTCGAATTGTCAAAATATTTACTTATTTAATCACTTGTTCACGAACAACTTCGGATATATTTACTCAGTGTTTATACAGAAACTAGCGGTGAGTACCCGGCGTTGCCCGGGCGAAAAAGGCAGACACATGTAGTTACACACGCAAATCCATTGATACACAAAATTAGAGTTACACGCACAAATTGACTCTCACATACATACATAGACTGAACAACAACCGCCATTCGCCACTAAGTGGGGGTGACGTCACAACAACGCTTGTGCCAGGCTATGTGCACATTGAGGCTATGTGAAGTGTCGAACGCCCGCTGGCAAGAGGTCACGGGGCAAACCCAGATGGCACAGGTCGACTGACTGAGACGACTGGCTGATGCAGCACCTGTGGCCCCTACTGTGGCAACTTTCTGTGCTTTAGCCACCCGGCGCTCCACTCGTTGTTGTGAGCATCGCTCCTCCGCCCTCCGTTGTTGTTGGAGGGTGACTGCCTCCAACTGGCCAGTAGCGTCTTTCAGGAGCCTCTTCCACAGTGGCCGATCTTGGCATGGCTGGTACCAGTCATCCGCAAGTGGACTCAGCTCCAAGTCTTCCTGTAGCACATAACTCCCATGTCTTCTCCAGCCCGTGCCGCACCCGTTTAGCCCCCTCGATCCGGCGGAACAAAAGCTGTTTAGGCATGTGGTGGCTGGCCATGCGGGCTACATGACTCAGGCAACGCAGCCTTGCCTGCCGGAGGTCACCGATAGGACTTTGTCCACATCTTTCAAGGATTTGTGAGCTCCTCACACAATGCAGCCTGGTTAAAGCCAGGATGGAATGTAGGCAGTCCAGCCTAAATGTTTCTAACTGGCGAAGATGTTCCATTAGGGGGGTCCAAGTTTCGCAAGCGTAGAGAAGGGAGGGAATGACCGTGGCCGAGAACACCTGAAGCTTCGTACGGAGTGATAGACCAGGTAGCTTCCACACAGCGTTACGCAGCCAATTAAAAGATACTGCAGCTCGACTGATTCGGAGTGATACCTCTGCTGTTAAACCGGAGCCGGTCATTAGCACACTGCCCAGGGAAACTCTCCACTGTCTCCACAACTGGCCCATCACCAATTGGGAGTTGTGGGGGTGGAGTGTCCGATGGTACAAAATAGCCAGGCAGGTGCTTAGCTTTGGTTGGGCTGATGGTAAGGCCCCACCTGTTGGTGGCAAGCTCCAGGTTCAGCAGCAGCACCTGGAACTCCTCCTCCGAGTGAGCAGCCATTAGCAGATCATCGGCATACATAACGTGGTTGAGCAATAGGGAGCCATCCCTTGACCGCACCCGGGCATCGATCAGCCTCCCATTGTATCTGTAGCAGATGGGAATTCTTCCGGTACAGTCATTGAAGGCTCGACGAACTACGTGGTCCAATGTGGGAGCCAGAGGACATCCCTGTTGCACCCCAAGGTGTAAAGGGAATTGCTCTGACTCACGGCCACGTAGTTAAGACGCGGGGCCGCTCACCATCATGAAGGTCCTTAAGGATGGTGATGAGTGGGTTTGGGACTCGGAAAGCACGAAGAGCAACCCAGAGGCCAGGCCTACTGATGGTATCATAGGCCTTGAGCAGGTCAATAAAGCACACGCATGGACTAAGATACACACATGGACCTACAGACACGCAAATAAATTAAGTTACACTGACTAACATGGAGGCATGCACACACAGCAACTAACACACACGCACATGGACTGAGACACACAAACACATCGACTTACATACACACACACATATGGACTCACACATACATAGACATGTACTTGAGATACGCACACATGGAGTTACACACACATATCGACGTACACACATACAGCGACACACACACATACACCGACTCGCACACAGCAATACATGGACTAAAATACACATTGACGTAAACACACATATGTACTCACACACACACATATGGACTAAGATACACACACATGAACTTACACATACATAGACTGACACACACATAGCCCTACACACACATACACATATGGACTGTGACACACAGATATATACTTTAGATACACAGACATGGATTAACACACATATGGACTAACACACAGACGCATTTACTTACACACACATCGAGTGACACACACATGTATAGACTTACACACACATGTGGACTAACACACACATATGGACTGACATACACATCGACGTACACGCACACAGATCGACTGACACACACACATGGACTAACACACACACATAAACACTTTTGACGTTGTCCGTTCGAAAAAGACACCCACATGGAGTGAAAGACACGCATGGCTCTACACGCACACACATATGGACTCAAAGACACACACATGGACTCACACACACACACATAGACGGGCACAGCAATCCCCGATGATGGCACAGCTATCAGTATCGCAGTACTACGTATGAGTAAATAGCGTGACGTGAGCGATGGAAACAATAGAAATGCATTGAAGAAATAAGCAGAAATCACAGACTGGCAGTAGACCGTGGCAGCGTTATAAAAGCGCATCAAAAAAAGGGGAAATTGAGCAACCCAAAAATGCAAAAAGAGTTTTGTGTACACAAACATAATTATTGTAACATGTCAACTCGTTTCATAATGGTAAACAATGAACCTGAGTAGTTATCTTCACAAAAACAGAATTATTGTAACATCTGTGAACTTGTTTCATAATGGTAAACAATGAAGCTGAGTTTTTATCTGCACACAAACATTATTATTGTAATGTTTGTCAACTAAAGTGTTTAACAATAATAAACAATGGACTTGAGTTGTTAGCGTAAGAAGCAAGGAAATTTGTACTTAGCATAGGCGTGTTGAGGCCTTGTGCGATGCGTAGCACCCGTCCTGGCCTACATTGGCGAGGCGCGGAGTTGGCACGTTGCCAGGCTAGGGGCTGGGCCGCTACCCCCTCTCCAACATCCGCCGCCCGTGCAAGAATAATGCTATGTAAGCAGTAAAATATTATTATCTTCGGAGTCTGTAGTATAAACTGAACGCATCGTGTTGGGGGGGGGGGGGGGCGAATAGGATATGACACTGTGAAGAAATATCCGCAGCGTCATGTGTGTACGTGTTGACTGTAAAACGCGTAAAGAAAATGTCTCCCGTGAGCTGGAGCGAACGCGCAGTACTTGGCAGGGTCCGCTCCCCCCCACGCAATTGGCGTCACTTGGTACAGTCGATGTCGTGCAATAAGTAAATAATGAATAATAGAAACAGCACAAATGTGTTAATTAAACTACTTTAAAGTGTACGGACGGGAAAACGGAATAGCCTATACCCACCACGGGGCTTAGGGCGTGCCGCCTGGCAAATTATTTCAGTGTTAAACACCACCGTCCGAGAGCCAAATCCCCCGGAAGCGCAAGCGCACGGAGACTTTTATATAGAAGAAAAAGAAGAAAGAAGAAAAGAAGAAGAAAAAAAAGATAAAAGATAAATACCTCAATAATGGAATGCTCCATTTGTGGAGGCTTCCAATACGTCCTTCTAAACTTGGTCAGATATGGTTTTGACAGATCTTGTAAGTACCGATGCAGTCAACTGTTAAAACTATAATCATTGCCGTACCCAAACTGGGCAAGCCAACTGATAACCTGGAAAGCTTTCGGCCAATATCACTCATGTGCACGACCTAAAAACTCCTGGAAAACATAATCCTCCAGAGAATTGTCGAGTCTGATCCCTGCAGAATCAGCGGGATTCCAGCCTTGATGCAGCTGCTGTGACCCAATTTTGGCACATGCGATGCACATTGAGACCATATTCCAGAAGAAATTCAAGACCAGCGCACAGTCTGAAAGTTACCTTCTGTGGCAACAATGTGTGATATGACACCACTCTGACCTATCTGAATGAAGCCAAGATCAAAACAAGGGTCAACCTGGTCTATAAACTGGCAAGCACAAGCTGGGGAGTATCATCACCAGTGCTAAGGACATCAACGGTCGTTCTTGTGTACTCTGTTGCCGAGTACTATGCATCAGTATGGACCAGAAGCTGTCACATTCGACTTGCCGATGTTCAACTAAACACTACAATGTGGTGTTTCATTGGAACCCTGAAGCGGACCCCAACAACCTGGCTGCACGGGCAGCTAAATATGCCTTCACTACCCATCCGCCGCAAAACTGCAACCATGCGGGGAGTCCTGCGAATCGAGGAAAGTCGCCTTGCCGTTCATCAGTACATCACTAACGTCCCTCGTCATTACTTGAAGTCACACAAGCCCATTAGAACCCATGTGCTTTCCCTTATACAATGCAGGTTCAACCCCGATGAACCCTGGAGAGCTGAATGGAGTTCAAAAGAACTCACAAATACCCTGTGAAAGACCCAATGCAGAATATCCATGGGTTTGATGTTCCACAAAGCTCATGGTCAACTCTAAGCCGCAACTGCACAAACCATGGCAGTAAATGCGGATACCTGATCCACAAATGGAAAATTAAAAACCATCCAGTGTGCGACTGTGGTCATTCAGAACAGAGACTTTACAACATATGACGACCCAATGCCCGATCCACAAATATAAAGGAGACATCACAACGATGCATTCCGCTTCTCCTGACGCGGTTATCTGGCTTGACAACCTGAATGTGAAATTGTAGATGTTGTTCTGCATCTACATTAGACATTCGGAAAAATTTCACACTTGCCCTTGTATGTATGTTGAACTTCGTTTGCACCATATGTAGCCAACCGTGCTAATCAGAGTTACGAGGGAAGGACAACGAACTCACACACAAAAAGCAGTTCTAAAAAAATAGGACTTGAACCTTTATGTAAACGTGCATAGCTCCAGTGGCTTCCTAATATACTGGTAGAAACCTCCTAGTTACACCCCTTAAGATTTAATATTTAAGAGGGTCTTAAATCTTAAGGGGT